TAGGTTTTTTCATGGTTTTTGCTTTGCGGGAAGGAAAAAATCGTAAAAAGTTGTATTGGAAGATTTTTCAACATAAATTGCCTAACATATCCCCAAAATAGGCCGAAGATAGCCAACATATCCCCAACATATGCCCAACATAGCCTCCAAGATGGCTCGACATAGGGCCAACATAAGCCAACGCGGGGCCAACCTGGGGCCAACATAGGCCCAACATAGGCCCAACCTAGGCCAACATAGGCCAACATAGGCCTAACATAGGCCAACATAAGCCCAACATAGGCTCAACATGGGCCCCCAGATAGCTTAACTTTACTCAATATAGGCCCCACCAAGGCCAACATAGGTGTGACATACGCCCCACAGACCCAAGTGGGCCGGCGCCCGGCTGTTAGGCGTAAGCCAAATCCGGGCGCCGGCCAGGACGCCCGTGGCATGCCCGGAGGGCCTTCGGTGGTCACCGAAGGTTATAGACGGTCGGCCCCCCTGCCGCCGACCCTCGCCACGAAAAACGGGCGGACCCCCTCGTCACTTCCTGTCAACTGAAGCCCCTGTAATTTACAGTGTATCGTGTGTGTGAGGTATAAAAAACACTGTGTTTTACAGGGTTTTGGGCCCCTCGGCAGCCGAGAATTTCGGCTTGGCGATGTCAAAAAACGTAGGTTTTTCCAGCGTTTTTGCGTTGCGGGAAGGAAAAATCGTAAAAAGTTGTCTCGGACGATTTTTTCAACATAAATTGCCTAACATATCCCAAAATAGGCCCAAGATAGCCAACATATCCCCAACATATGCCCAACATAGCCTCCAAGATGGCTCAACATAGAGCCAACATAGGCCAACATGGGGCCGACATAGGCCCAACATAGGCCCAACATAGGCCAACATAGGCCAACATAGGCCTAACATAGACCCACATAGGCCCAACATAGGCTCAACATGGGCCCAAGATGTGCCCAACATACACCGCATGGGCCCCACTTGGCCCAACCTAGGGCCAAGACGCGCGCCAGATAGTTTAACTTTGCTCAATATAGGCCCCACCAAGGCCAACTTGGGCGTGACATACGCCCCACAGACCCAAGTGGGCCGGCGCCCGGCTGTTAGGCGTAAGCCTTTAAATCCGGCCAGGGGCCCACGGGGCCCCGCCATGGCCGTGTCATTGCCGTAGGCATCTCTCCTCTCCGAAGGAGAGAGTGGAGTCCCGCCCCTGCGGCATACTGCGTTTTACAGTGATTTCTGCTTCTTCCATTTTTCCGGCTTTGTGGTTCAAGATGGGTCACCATTGCCCAACATAGGCCCAAATAATGCTGGAAATGCGTGGCGCGCCGGGGTGCTTCGTCTGCATCGTGGGCGGCTGCTGGGCCAACAACAACAACAACGACGACAACCACAACAACAACAACAACAACAACAACAACCACAACCACAACCACAACAACAACAACAACCGCAACCGCACCCGCACCCGCAACCGCAACCGCAACCACAACAACAAGCACACCACCGACAACAAGAACAACCACAACCACAACCACAAGCACACCACCAACAACAACGACACCACCACCACCACCAACAACAACAACAACGACAACAACAACAACAACAACAACGCCCCCGTGCCCTTTTTCCCTGCCCCCTCCCCTTTGCTTGGGCCCGTGGCCGGCTGTCGGGCGTAAGCCCTTAAATAAATTGAAGTGAACACCAACACGACAAGATATCGACCCCACCAAACGATGGAATGGGCAACCTCGGCCTTCAGAATGGTTTGGCCAAACGCTTGATTGCTATGCATGCAGATATCAGAAGGAAACACCTGCTATGCAGTGTGCGTGTGTTCCTCTCCTTGCTAGTCTCCTCCCCTTCTTTACAGTAATGGTTCAAATCGAAATAAAATCGAGGATGAGAGTGGATTTGAGAGGAAAGGTTGGGAAAGGAAATTTAGCAGCATGTTCAATGGAGTTACTTGCCATCCCCGCTGCTTGCCGTCCATGTTCTATGCTAATCAAAGGGAACACGGGTGGGTAAATTCTGATAAGTGGCAGGAACTGAATTGAGCAGATAGAATGATGTACAGTATATAGTTAGATGGTAGTGGAATGTAGGCAAACTGTCCTACAAACAATCACAACTGGAAAGCAACATGTTCACATAGTAGGATTGGAAGGTCTCGGCCAATTGTGTTCATATATGTTTGTATGTACGTGTACATGTGATATTGATTCCAGGCAAACGATGAAACGGATCTAACAGGTATCCTTTTGTACTGTGCCGTGCAGCGTTGTGCGGTAAGAAGCATTGGCACAATGCAGTACGTGAATTATATTGTGCACACTTGGCATTTTTGCATAAGTGCTGTAAAATCTTGGGGGGAGCCTTGGCGCGTGTATTCACCTTCTCCTTTTCAGGATCTGGCCTGGAAGGGGCTCAGCAAGCAACAAAAGAATCACATCAGGTCAAAACATACAACATACCTGTCACACTTGTAGCAAAAAACATCGACCAACATTGTGGATCACAAAGACCTGGTTTTCCCAATGCATCCGCTGCTTTGAGGATACTACGCAGGCATGCCAGCATAGAGAGAATCGCCGGAGCTAGTCTCTGGCCTGGTGCTTTGCAAAGTATTGAATCCCAAGCGCAAAACTGCCTTGTAAGATCTTGTAAGCTAAACACGGTCCCTGGATCAACTCAATTTTCCCAGAATTTTGTTCAAACGCGCTTTCTCCCTCTGGAGATGAAGGAATTGTAGGCAGCCCAAAGAAGGCCCACCTGTCAGATCACATGCTGGTCAAGTGGCCCAAGCAGGGTGCTTGGTTTTGTTTCAGCGTGTGCGCCAGGCGAGAGTGAACCTGAACCTGACTGGAACTGTTCTAGTTTGGGTTCGGATTCTGGAGGATGATGGTTCCTAGCCACCTCCGGCAGTTCTAGTTTGGGTTCGGGCTCAGGCTGCGATCCGGCGGTCGGGAACTTGAACCTAAACTGGAAGTGTTCTAATTTGTGCTCGGGTTCTTGGGTACTGGAGCAGCAGTCGTCGAAGTTGTAGTGATAGTAGCATCAGTAGTGGTGGTAGTGGTAGTAAAAACTTGCTTGTAGTAGTAGTAGCATTGTAGTCGTACTAGTCGTATTGGTAATCGTGGTAGTCATGGAAGTCGTGGTAGCAGCAGTAGTAGTAGTAGTAGTGGTAGTAGTGGTAGTAGTAGTAGTAGTAGTGGTAGTGGTAATAGTAGTAGTGGTAGTGGTGGTGGTGGTAGTAATAGTAGTAGGGATCGTAAAAGTACTAGTAGTAGTATTAGTAGTAGTAGTGGTAGTCGTAGTAGGAATAGTAGTAGTTAGTAAAAGTACTTAGTAGTTAGAAGTTAGCAGTTAGTAGATACTAGTTAGTAGTTAGTAGTGGGTAGTGAGTAGTAGTCGTAGTAGTA